TCCCTTAGGCTCCTGTGAAAGTCTCAGCCAAAATACTTTAAAATGATGTGACCTGCTTAGCTTTCACATCAAAAGAAATCATCAGTTTAAAAGTAAGCATTTCCAAAAGTTTTGCTAGAGAGGCAAGAATTCTTGTGAGTGTTATATTTTATTGGATGCCACTCTGAATAGTTCATATAGACATAGGCAGGCTTTTCGGTATTGCAGTAGGTCGTTGTCTTTTTCTTAAAGCTTGTAGGATGCAGAGGTCATAGAACTGAACCTCTAACTGACCCTTTAATCTTAGACTATAACATAATCTTTTTTGCTGTCTGGTGTCTTAATAGACTTAGATTTGATGCATATGAAAGCTCCCAGAAAAGAAATGGTCATATCAAATTAGTATAGATTATGGGACTATTCAGTATTATATGTACTTTTTTTAAATTATGTCATTGTTGTTCTTTGTATTGATAAAATTACTGCCTAACTTCACCTTTAAGAGACAATTATAAATTACTTCCTACAATTTCACTGCTTTACAAAGCAAGTAAAATGGTTCCTTCCTTTGTTTCTTTTCATAACAAAACATGAAATTATTCATGACTGTTCCCACCTTTATCACTGACTGGCTATGTAGCACCGAACAAGCAATGTAACATCTCTGGGTTTTTGCTCCTCATCTGTTATAGCCAAAAGACTTGCTTATATCCTTATGTGCGTCACAAGTATAAATGTGGCACTTGGATCCCGTCCAGTAGCACAACTGAGAAGAGGCACAGGGTGGGGAGCAGAGCATCAGCCATGGGCACCAAATATTGTGGGAGGACCAGAATTGCTCCCCTGGGAGTCTAGCACAACCACAGGAGCTGGGCAGCTGCAGCTGCACACTCAACAGTGTTTATGGGGGCCAAGGAGCAAGTATCTAAGCAAAATGGTGCTCCGTCCTCCCCTCAGCTTCGCCTCCTCAGTGCCACAGTAGATGCAACCCTGCACCCAATAGCATGGGGAGGTGGAGGGAGGAATAAATGGGTACCAGGGGCAGCAAAGGACTGTTGCTGCCCACCTAGTACTGCTACCACAGTGCCAGCAATATCAGCTGTCTTTGCTGTATGGAAAGCAGTGGGAGGTAAGACTTCACTTCCCCTCCCCTCTCTTTCCTTCCCTTCATCCCCTTTTTGGCCCTGTCCTACCCTGCCTCACCCTACCCCAGCCACTCAAGGAGCTTGCTAGCTCTGATCCTGTTAGATGCTTTTCAAGTGATAAATATTGGTAAAACTGCTTGAAGGAGTAGCACCTGTAAGTGACATTTTCAACTTATAGACATTTTTCTTTAAAATATAAAGTAGGTAGAGTTCAAATGACAGATGAGAGGACTGAGGCACATACAGCCCTGAGTATAAAATTCTTCCTAACCTATAGGATATGAATTGTCTTTTCCATGGCTTCAGTATTCCCAGTGGGACTATCGACACCAAGTTTTCCAAGATCAAACAGCAAGTTGTATAATGTAATGGATGGATAAATCAAAGGGCACTTTTACATGTGCTCTGGGGTTGGAGCAGGGGGCAGCTCTGAGAGCTGCTCTAGTTAAAGTGCTGCAGCATCCCAGTCAGCTTTAGTTCAAGTACCCTCTCTGCCATTTTTAAATGTGGGGATATGTGAGATGCAGGAGGATGCGGGAACATGGTCATTGTCACACTCCAATGTGTTGGAGCAGCCTTCCTATTCGTGTACAGGCACCCAAGTTATCTGGCTAGTTAGGTGCCTCAGAATGGGATTCACGACAGCCAGCAGACTGAGCAGGGAGATGACTAAACTAGCCACCAGGAAATACCGATGAGTGAGTTGTCACAAATGTTGCTCCCTCTTTGGGGGCTTAGGCACTTAACTGCAGGCAGGGAGGTGCCTATCTCAGATTGGGATTCACACCAGGAATCCTGCTCCTAGGCTTAGAAATCTGAATTTTTTCTTTCAAAATGAAATACAGATTAGTCTTCTCCTTTATAGCATGGGAGATGGTTGTAACTGATAGTCTAGTGGCAAGGGTACCTACCCAGGAATTGGAAAACTTGTTAGATTCCCTTCTCAGCCAGAGCAGTTTTGAAGCCTTATTTCTCACCTTCCAAGCAAATATTCTAACCAATAGGCTGCAGACTGTTCTGAGATGGAGAAACTTTCTGTCCCTCCTGTGGGAGCTGTGCTATCATACAGAAGGACTTATAAGATTGCTTGGGCCAGAGAAAGAGAGTAAGGAAGTAATTTAACCCTGTGATTAGGACATATAGGGCGTGTCTACAAGAGACATTAACTGTGCAGTTGCCTAATTGTGCATTAAATGTCTCGGTATCTACACATGTGCCCCTATTAGGGCGCACAAAACTAATAATCTCTGCAGCAGGGTAAAACTTGTATTAACAAGTCCAACCCTGCTCTAGTCTTTCATGTGCAGCAGCACATGTGTAGACACTGACCCAGCTGGCTGGGGCATGAGGGTGTTTCAGTGTGGGGGCTCCCTGCCAACTGACCCTACACTGAAGGACCATCATACCCCAGCCAGCCCCTCCACAGCACATTGAGCCTGGTGGGAGCAGCCCCAAGCTGGCAGGCTAACCCCCCAGCCCCCTGGCAGCTGGAGCAGCTGTGATCCAGCTCAGTGTGTTGTGGTCCGATGCAGATGTTCACCCAGCAGTAATAAGCTCCGGTGTTTACCACTGCATGTTAATACGCGTGTGTAGACCTCCCCTCATTGGTTCTGTTCCCTGCTCCCACGATTGCTGTTGCATTTTGACTGTTTAATGTAGATAACAGGGATAGGAAGTCTGGGTTTCACTCTTCTAGATAACCACTGTGTTTTGAGCAGGACTCATTGCTGTTGGTATGTGTTAGGTGTGTTTTGAGCATGCTTACTCAAATTCGGCCCCTCTTTGGAGGTGGTATTCTTCTGCCTATGCTCGTTAGGAATCGTGAGACAAGACAAAATAGTAGTAGTACTGGCTACTTACAGAAACGGAGCTTTGGTAGTCAGGTAAAATGAAAGAACTTCCAGACTCCAGACACTTGAGTAGTTAGTCACTGATGTGGGGCATCTTGGACTTAAATACCTAATTTTCACCCGAGTTTTTTGTGGATATGGACCAAAGTTTTATTCTTAACTACTCAAATGAGAAATTGCTTATTTTTCATATATTATTTCAAAGGTGGAACATCTTTCAGAATATTTGCTGTATCATTAATGGGTGTAGCCCAAGCCTTGATGTAGGAGTTTAATATACGACTCCCTGACCCAGAGGCATAAATGCTACTTATTGAGCAACATGTATCTTAATAGTTCTTATGGCTTGCTTTATCTGGGAACTCTGAGCAATCTGGGAGTTGTCTCTGCTTTTTTTTTTTTCTCTTCTCCCTGTTAGGACAGAACTTAGTTTTGCCTCTGTATAAGCTGGTGCATCTGCGTCATCTCCATAGCATCTGAATATCCTAAAATGTGCAGCGAACATGAGGCAGGTGTCCACTATTTAATAAAGAAAGCATGCAGTTTGGTAGGAATAATAAGTGATATTATTCTTGTAGGAAATTACAATGTCTGCAGTGAAGAATTACAGCACTTTTTAGCTCTTGTTATGCTTTTTTGCTTCAGATCCTCTCCCTTAAACTAGAATGCTTACTTCACTATTCAGGGTATGACTTTGATGCTTCATCCAGCCTTAGTTGGCTGGGTACAGATTATCAAGCAGTGTCAAGAGCAGTATTATGCACACTTTCTGTGTCTTTCTCTCCCTGCATGGTATACCTGAGAGAGACATGCTGCTCCTTTCTTGCTCTTTCTGTCCTTCCTCCCTGTGTGGATACAAGACTATTCCATATGGCATAATTTAGAGAAGTTCAACATGCCTATTTCCACTGTCACTGGACAGAGACGTCATAGATACCAGTGTGATAGTTTGGATGCCTGCTGGGGCAGACATAGTATTTGCTTGCTCTTTTACTCTCTATCGGCAAGTCATAATTTGGGTTCTGTTCCCGCCCCACCCTTACCTGGCAAGCTAAATCACTTACAATGCCAAGAGTTTAACTAGTAACTAAACCATTTCTGCAGCCTGGAAAACATTTTGTTACACACAGTGCAGTTGGCAGATTGCTGCGTGGGGTTTTTTACCTTCCATCTAGCGTATCAGTTTGGACTTGGGAGCTAAAAACTAAAGCATCTATTGTTTCAGTGTAGTTGGTGCACTAAAAATGATCTGATGTGGTGTCTCTGTAACCCAGTGGACTGTTTGGGCACAGGCATAGAGCATGACAACACCTGGTGGTGTGCTGTGTCTCTATGTTTTATGCAGTGTTGGTCTCCTCTCGTTGAGGCCCTGTGTGGAGTGGGGGAGTCTCCTGAGCAGGTGCTTCATTTCATACTTGCAGAACAGGTTGGGGAGGGTGTCAGAGGGAGTGCCTTTAGAACTACCTTTGAGTTTGTATAATACAGGGCCACTCTGGCCCAATTGAAAACTCCATTCCAGCAGCTTTGCAAACTAGTTTGGAGTGGGGTGGGATAATTTGTTTCCATAGTTTAAAGGTTTTATTGAAGTTGTGGCCTCTGCATATTACCAGTGTGGTATGCCTATCATTTCAATATTCCCATCAAAGTGTAGTCTGATTGGTACTGAATGCCCTATTGGCAATTTCTATTGAAGAAAAGGCTACATACAGTGAAAAGAGAACTCATCAGAGTGGTAATCCACTCTAGAAATAACCCGTATAAGATTGTATATTGAGCCATGTTCTGAAATCCTTAACCAAACTAAAATCAAAAGGATCCATATACCCTGATGTTGTCAGTTTTTAATAAGTTCTCCTAACGAATTGTTCCGTTTCTGCTATAAATAATCAGAATAACTAGTCCTCTGAAATGGATTAAAATATCTGGGAAAGGTGATTTGATCACTTGTTTCTCATTTTACATTGATATAGTTCACTTTCATTTCCTTCCATTAAAATCATTAGAATATTTATTCCCTTTATTACAGATAGCTTCTGCTTTATGGTGGTACTATGTCTCCAAAGGAATTGAATACTTGGACACAGTATTTTTCATCCTGCGGAAGAAATTTAACCAAATCAGTTTCCTTCATGTTTATCATCATTACACCATGTTCACCTTGTGGTGGATTGGAATCAAGTGGGTTGCAGGAGGACAATGTGAGTAAATCATTTTTTTTCTCTCAAGAGAACACAGACCTAAGAATGCAGATCATCCCATTAGAAATTAATAAACAGACATTTATGGACGTAACCAAATTTCATAAGCAAACTGATGCAAACAGCATTGGGAGGGTGCATACTTTAACGTGAGAAATGAGGGGGAGGAGGAGAGAACAGAGCTGTAGTCTTTTGAATTGCAAAACACTTTTCACATGAACATCCAAATGCAAGGTGAACTTCTACCCATAAATTCTGTCTTGAAAAAACAGTTGGGTGATAAATTTGCCTTACCCGACTTAAAATTCTACAGCTATGGAGAAATTGTAGTTATGGGCTAGATTCTATGTGTAAACTTACTGAAGTTAATTGAGGTACTCTAGATTTTTACTAGTGCAGAATTTGGCACTGTATCCAAGTTTGGGGTTTGGTCTGTTTCATAACACAAGCACCAAAATCTAGATTACTCATTTGAAGGTGAGCAATAAACCGGTATCAGGTAACTTCATAGAAACTGTTCAGAATGGCACAAACCTATAATTAATTCAGAGGCTCTTCCTTTTCCTGCATTGTTTCTTGAAGGTTTTCTCTCCCCCCTCCTATATCTCTTGTTTCTCTAAAATGATAAATTCTACAGAAGCGCAGGTTAAGTGAAAATGTCCCAGTCTGTTTTGTGAAGAGCAATGTAAACTTCACACACTAAAAACAGCTTCTGGTAATAATCCTTTAACTAAACACCAGACTAAACTTAATCTATTATCAATATAGCCATATATTTAAATATATATATTTGTATACATCATATTACTATTTCACACAAAGCTATAAAATTTATTCAGATCTTTGGGTACAAGGTTGTAGGAGGCAACTAACCCAGTACATTTTCAGGGGGAATGGATTTTTTTTTCCACGAAAATTACAGCTCACTGCACTCATTCACTGAGCTTTCTAGAAACTGAATATGTGCAGTTTGTAGTCTCACCTGCTATTTCACTGGGCACCTCTAAATCACTTGTGTCTAGTTATGTTAGGGTTTGATTGTACGAGGTGCTGAGTGCCCTCGGCTGCTATAAGTCTGTAGATGGGACTGTACAAAGCTTATCTTGGCTTTGAGAGGTCCAGCTTTGCAGTTTATAGAATTCTTGGCCTCTGCAAAAGAAATGCATCAATCACCCTTCTGCAGCAACAGAGACTGGCAGGGATCAGGATTTTACCCCGTATAGACAGGAATAAATCAGAGAGTCATATAAAAATGGGCTTGAAATGGACCTCAGGAGGTCATCAAGTCCAATGGTGTGATCAAGGCAGGATCACCCTGTCTAAGCCACCTGAGGCAAGTGTTTGTCTAGCTTGGTCTTAAAAAACTACCAAAGATGGAGGTTTTATGACCTTTCTAAGTAATCTGTTTCAGTCCTTAACCACCTTTGCATTTTGAAAGTTCTTCATAATATCCTGGTTGCAGTTTTAAGTCCTTTACTACTTGTCCTCTCTCCTACAGAAAACAGTCTATCATGCAGCCTTCTCTTCTCCAAATTAAATAGCTTAACTTCTTCCCACCTTTTCTTGTAAAGTGATGGATCATAGATCTCTGATCATGTTTGTTGCTCTCTACTAGATTCTTTCCAATTCATTTGTATCTTTCTTGAAATGCTGCTCAAAACAAGACACCATACTCCAAGTGGGGCCTCACCAGTTTTGAATACAGTCAAAATAATGCTGTCCTTAATTTGTAGGCAACACTCCTCTTAATACAACTCAGTAAGCTATTGACCCTTGTTCAGTTTGCAATCTACTGTAAGCCCCAGGTCCTTTCTGTAGTACTGCACTATAACCAGTTGTTCCAAAGCCTGATTTGTGCGTTTGATTGTTCCATCTGAAGTACACTTTTCTGTATTGAGTTTCATTTGATAACTTCAGATAATTTTTCTAGTTTATCAAATAGTCCTGTCCTCTAGGGTTACTGCAACTGTACTCAGCTTGCCATTATTTTACATATTTGGGTCATAATTTTGGTCACTGTTATTAAAAACGTTGTCCTAAATGCAGAAAATTCTTCAATGTCAAAGGAGACTCCTGATACATCACTGCTGCATTTCTAAAGCTAACTTTTCAAGCATTTGTTATTTAAAGTGATTATTAAAATACAAAACTGAATGTTGATGGAAAATGTAGGGCCTAATTCTTCAGGGTCAGGTTCTACAAAGTCATGTGAATAACTGTTTCTCTAAATAGTTCAGCTGAAGAAGACATGAACAAAGTTATTCATGTTGGTACACAGTAGCAAGATTGGCCTGTTGCCCAAAGGCTAAAAGGAGATTACAAGTTATGTTGCAGTTTTGTTCTTATTTTATGTCCAGTACGGACAATATATACAACATTATAAGAACAAGTGTGACCTATTTTATGTTTAATGTGCAACTGAAGTAAATACAAACTTTTCTGTCTTTCATGTTTTTAAAAATGTACTTTTTTTTTTTTTCTGGACAGCTTTTTTTGGAGCTCATATAAATGCATTTATTCATGTTGTTATGTACATGTACTATGGATTAGCTGCCTGTGGCCCTAAAGTTCAGAAGTACCTCTGGTGGAAACGATACTTGACCATACTACAATTGGTAAGTAAAATCTTTCTCTAAACCTACCTCTGGTGAATATGTTTTTGTCTTTCAATTTTCTCTACTTGAAAAGGATGAAGTCTCCAGTTTGTCAGCAAGTGTCCTTTGGCTCTCATTCTAAGTGGTATGATGCATGAAAAGTCTCCAGTGTGTACTCATCCATTTAATCTTCCCACACAAACTACTAAGGAAACCTTTTGTGATGATCACTGTGGGCTGGTTTGAGGTCTACCAGGCCTGTATCCTAATCAGTCACTCCGATTTTCACTTTTTTAATGTTCCACAATAAGCCTTGTTTTTTCTCAAACCTTTTAAAGTATGTAGCATCTTCTAGTTTAAACTTTTGAATACATGGGCAGAGCGTTGGGCTATGCTTACTGATCACTTATTACTATTACATAGTGTGGTCATGCACAAATCCATTTCTTTTTTCAATCAGGGAACATCAGAAGCATATTTGTTTCATATTGGTTTCAAACCCTAAGCATAGATTAACATACCTTTCAAGAGACTTTCCTGTGGATCTTGTAGGCTTTGCATACCTGCATGCACCTGAATAACTAAATTAAGTTTAATTATGGTAACACCCTTTCTTATTTCCATGCAAATCTGTGAATGGGGAGTCTTGGTTCAAAAGTAAGGTGCATTCTTTTTACCTGAAGGGTACTTTTCCAAATTTAAATAATTCATAGTAGGACACACTTATTCTGAAAGAAATGCCCACACACAAGCTTATGCTAAAAGAACAAAAGAGGTAAATTAAAACTTATTTCAATACAGACTTGTGTGTAGTACCATCTTTTGTCAGGTCTTTTATGCAGTTGTTCATGCATAATAAATATAAATAAGAGAAAGCTGCTGGAGGTGAGGGGAGCTTTTGAAATAACTTCTTTGATTTATAAAAAGAATTATCTATTGTTGCTGAAGGCTGTACCTTAGTCAACAGCACGGAGTGAAGGGAGATGGCACCATCATAGGCAACAGGTTGCAGAAGGTGCGAGAAGTCAAGTGTTCCATGTTCGTAGCAAGCATATGTATGAATAACTCGTAGCAAACTACAGGGATTTGCATAGCTGGGAAATAGCCAATCATCTGTGGGTCATTAAGTGTGCAGTTTCTGTAATCTCTACCAGAGATGGCTGTTCCTTGTTAGTACAATTGCTTTGGACTTTCATGTGAAACTTAACATGCTGGGAATGTAAATGTTTGTACTTTTTACTTTCTAGAGCAAAATACATGCAATAGTAAGGTTCCTGTGTAAAGAATTATTGTCTGTTGAGTTTCACAACCTACTCGGTTTTCTTTTGAAAATTTGAATATTCTGCTGTACTGTATTTTCAGTATAAACTGATATAGTCAAACCTAGTAAAACATAAAACTTTTTGATGTTATTTTTATCTTTCAGGTTCAGTTCCATGTGACTCTTGGCCATACAGCCTGGTCTATTTATATTGATTGTCCCTTTCCCAAATGGATGCACTGGGGTGTAATTTTCTATGCTGTCACCTTTATTCTCCTGTTTGGCAACTTCTACTATCGGACATATAAACAACCCAAAGAACCTGTAAAGAATGGCAAAATAGCAAATGGTGCTGTTGCAAATGGTGTAAGCAAATCGGAAAACAATCTAGTGGCGGAAAATGGAAAGAAGCAGAAAAAGGGAAAAGCAAAAGGAGAGTAACCGGATCCAGGCCTTAACCCTTGCTGGCAGTGATGAACCTCCAGTCTGATTTAAGGAAAATGTTTAAAAATAAACACTATCTATCTGTACCCATTAACCCTTAGGTTACTGGAAAGCTAGAACACACAGATATTTTCATTATTTATGAAGATTGTTTTAACAACAACACTTCAAATTAAATTTCTATTGTAATTATGTAATTATCGAGCATATGATCTCTGTGTAAACTTTATAGATGGCTGGTGTTGGTGAGTGTAAGAAAGAATTGCAGTAATTAACATGTTTTAGCAGTTGAAGTTGATCCTACCATTGATGTGACTGATTTGTAGCAGTCCACATTTCTAGGGGGGAAAAGGTTGCTTTGGAATACTTATGTTTCTGCCAGAAATTTATTAAATTTCAAATTATGATTGTATATTACCCGATTAGAATATGCAGTTTTCTTGTCTTCACTAGAAATATCTCAAGACACAGTTATGTCTATGTGTTATTAGAACAGACTGTTGAATTTTCACATTTCCCTTGTTTTGATTTAATGTCTGTTACAGTTTTTCCTGTGTGGAAATATACCTACCTCTTCATGTGCTGAAAGCAACATTTAACGTTAAATAACTTCAATTTCTGAAGTATGGAGTCCTCCAAGACAAATATGAGATGCAATTTGGAGAGAGCTGGGGTGGGGAGAGGACCACTTCTTTTAAAATCATCTCCCTTTTCAATACAAATGTGACTTTGGGATGTGAATTTGGATGCGATTTAGTGGAGATGACCTTTTTAAATGTATTTATAAATACAATATTTATGACAGTTGATCTGATGAAAACTAAAGTACTTTTTGCCCGCCTGCTTAAAATCAGTGGTGCTAATTTATATGCTACTGCAAATGATTAGGTGGTGTTATAATGAGGTTGAAATATACTATAACTGAAATCACGTTTGCAAACACCGTTTCTTATGTCAAATAGAACAGAAGTGTTTTCAGTGTAAGTTGTAGGTTCTAAAACTGTTTGCTCACCCACAAATTGGACATGCTACTTCATACCCTAGTGACTGCAAGCAACTTACCAATTTAAGCATACACTGGATGTAGACAAGTATTGTGTTTGTCAGGCCAGTACAGGTAGGTTAGTTGTTGAGATTCATTCCTTCAATATTCCTGACTCTTGTCACTTTAACATATAGGTTATTCTTCCAATTATTGTTTAGTCAAAACTACCATAATAAGACAAAATGGCTTTTTACAATTCCTTTCTGCTCAAAACACTTCATAACTGTTAATTGATTAAATTGTTACCCTTCTATGAGGAAAATATTTTATTTGCATTTGTATTTTGTGGGCGCTACATTATAGACAATTTGTTACTTTTCGTAACTCAAAATGAATATAAGGCAGTTCAGACTTGACCAGGTCTCATAACTTCCAGTTCCCTACTCTTAACTACAAGAGCTGTTTTCTAAATAAATTTGTTACAGTTGTGGTCAAAAACAAGTTCATCACAGTGTATCTTACATCAGGAAAAATGTGATGTATAAAGCTTGTGTATAGAATGTAAAATATTCAGCACAATTACAATTTTTTCATCGTAGTTATCCTTCCTGCCTATTATAAATAATAGGCAAAAAGAACCTACAACTCTGATTTCTTGTGACGTTTTTTATCTTTTATCCTTTTACTCAAAACTGAATACAAATCCTAAGTAGTTCAGGAGAAAAGGCAATTCTGACTAAATCCATAATACTTGAAACGATTACTGGTTAAACTGGAAAATGGGTCTTCAGTAGGAAGCCTATGTTATAGGTTACATGGCAGGAAACTAGTTTATCAGGGCAGAGTAACTCTATTGGACTGTAACTGGTCTGTTACCATTAATTATCTTATCTGCTTAGTCTCGTGAGTTACCAGTCTAAGTCTTGATGCTTTCAGGTAAAAATAAAACTTACTACATTTGTAAAAATGTGTCTTATGCATTGATATATGTGCAACAAAAAAAGAGTCAAGACCCTTTCTAAAAAAACTCGCATGTATTTTCTCTGTTTGTAGGGAACTAGCACTTTTTCTTGTATGACTTTTTTCTTCCTTTATTTTTAAAAAAGATTAGATAAAATAAGCATAAATTTGACAGCTGGTGCTACGGGGCTTTTTTCCTTGATCCATTTCTTGTTTGACCATGTGATTCAGTCCTGTTTTGAGCTTAAATATAATGTCACTTTCATGGCACGCAGTTTGAGGGATAGCATAGCATGGCTGCAAGTGGAATACTTCTTTTGTTATGACTGAGCAACCAGTGTCACGGAAATTGACAGAGCTGACAATATACAGCTACTTCTCTTTTCCTAGATTTCAGTTGGGCACAAGGTAGGCACTCCAGATTCTCCCTGCGTTTCCTATTTTGCAGCTTGTGTGGTTACCAAGTCTGCACAGTTTGGGCCCAGAGGTAATAAGAATATGTAAAAGTCTATGTATATAGATATGCAATCAAAACTTGAGTACCAAAAAACTTTTGCATGATAAAATTTTCTTACTGTATGTTTTTTTTTTTACACTTGTCTGTAAGATTGTGAGTCCCTGGCTCTTTGAAATCTTAGATTTTTTTTTTTTCATTAAATGACTTGCGTCCCAAGAAATTTTGAAACCTTTGGGCTAATATTACATCAAGTGTCACACTGGTTACTTCCCCACAACGTCCTTGATGTCCCCTCAGACTTACCTATTTTTAACAGTCTCTTTGCTCAGTCAATTTTTTTTTTTTAGGCAGTTTAAGTAGGATTTTTATAGATTCCCATAATGTTTTCCCAGTTGATGAGGTAACTGGTAATTTTTAAATACAAAGTTTGAATGTCTCTAGCTCAGAGATGAATCATAAAAACCAAAACTGCTTTCATTTGAATATAGCTTCAGAATTAGGCTTTTCAAATATAGATGGTATTTGCTGGTCATTTTAGGCCTAGTAGGCTGAGATCTTCACAATGACAGTTGGTCAAATGTAACAAATATTAAGACCTCAAACAGAGGTTAACTGGTGAATCCTTGTCACCTGAACCAACAACTCACTGTCATACATGCTCTGTAAGCTAACCAAGGACTATCCAACAGTAGAGGATTTTAAGAAAACTACATAGTGAGTCAACTCTGCAGAAGTCTCTGAAGCCCCTGAAATGAAAGTGACTTTTAAGAACACATTAATCAATGTTGAAATATTGGTCCTATATCAAATGAGCCTCTCTATGTAATGGCCATATTGATAAATATTGACTTGCAGCGAAGTTGAATCTTTTCCATTAACTATTTCCACTTCAGAAAAGTATTGTTAATAATTTATATAGGGATGCAAAAATGCTGCAAAATCACTTGGGCTAACCCACACTTTGCTTCTTCCAAATACGTGCATCTGTGTTCACCATGTGCTGGGGTTGCCAAGGGTAGTTACTTATACTGGAAAGCCTCAATCCTGCAAAGGCATACGGTCATGCTTAATTTATGCACAGTTTTAAAAACCTTACTTCAATGGGATTTCTCAACTTGTGTGAAATTTAATCCTACATTATGTTATGTAGGATCAAGGCCATAATCTATAAACGAGTGTTTTTAATATTACATGTTGTAATTTGTTGTAAGGGAGGTTTACAGCTGGGTGTATGGATAATGCATTCATCTTCATCAGTTGCAAACACAGACACTTAATCCTGAAGGGCTGAGAAGTGGCAAGTCATCTTTGGGTAATTACTAATCACCTTGCACTGTACTGCCAGAGGAAGTAGTACTTAGATGCATTCTCTGCCAGTATACTCTATACATCAGCAGAAAACTTCAGTCCAAAAGGAATGGAGAAATATTTTATTTCTATGCTTCATTTGTAGACAGAAGAAAGGAGTGGTTTGGGAGCCTGCTTTTGCATAGGATGTTTTGCTTTTGTAAACTTTTAAAATAAATTTTATTTTTCATGCTGTCCGCAAGTTCATTGGTTATGATTTTCATACAGGCAGGTTTTACTGTATCCTGTCTTGCTTTGTCAAACTTGTCAACTCTGTTTCACTCACTTTGAGGTGATGCTATTTGTCACACAGCACAGACATTCATAAGGCACATTTTTGTGGGGGGGGGACACATTCTTCCAGTTAGGGTTTGGGATATTTTTAAACTAAGTTCAGGTTTAAGTAGGTTCCTTTGAAGGACTGGGGCCCTTTTAAGGGGATGGAAAACTTAGTGCAGAATTTGGCTCTAATTTAAAACCTATATAGTCCACAGAAGTGTTTGAGTGGTGCCCAAGCCAGTGACAAATGTGATCCTAAATGTCAGCTTAGGTCAGTAGAATCTAGCACTGTTTGTTTCTCAGGCAGATTTGACATGTGATGGCCTTCTAGCATATCATATAGTATTATGCCTTGGCTACATGGGCAAGAGAGAATGAAATGGGTAAGTATAATGAAATGTCCTCTGTATCTGAGCTCTGTAACTACATATTACTGTATATTTATTTCATGTCTTACTGTAAGCTGGAGAATATAACAATGAGAGAAACTTTGCACCCTCTTGAGGTCTTAGACACTTCTATCTTGGCAGTGTTAGAAAAATCAAAAAGAGAAGCCAGGTGATTCAGTAACCGAGTGATAATGCTTTGTATTTATACAGCACTTCCATCTGAGAATCTCAAAGCTCTTTATGAATTTTGGGCCAGTTCCCCACTGCCTTCTTTACTAGTCATGTATATGAATGGTAAGTGGAAACCCAATATTTAATCTATTTGCCCTCCAAGTTTACTTAGGTGTACATGATCGCTCATTGTGCAAGCTAGGGGAGAATAAGACCTGTTAATGATCAGAATGGCAAAGTCCTTTTTTTTCTTTTCTTTTTTTTTTTTTAATTTTTACTGTTATTGAGGGTTATGGACAGATTCTGCTTTAATTTGCATTCTTTGCAATTCCACTCAAATTTAAGGACTTGTATGGAAGCTCAGGGTAGCACTGGACCCTTAGTTGGTTAGAGAGAACGATACTTACTAGTAGTGAGCACTTAATCCAGATAGCTCATGTTTTATTCACCGTGCTATTTCCTTAACTGCTAGTAACTAAGAGGAGGTATATGCGACCAAGTGTTGTGGAATCAAATAATTTGATAGAATCTCTAGGTTCTTTGTTTTGCATGTATCATTTAATATGTCAACCATCTCTTCTGGCTGTCGCTTTTTTGTCATTACAATAGTTTTTGTCATAACTATTCATTAGTTCTAAGATCAGGGGAGTTAACCCAAAGGATGAACCAGACCACAGAGTTTCCAAAACCTAACTTTTACCTGATTGCTATAACTTCTTTATGAACTTGTGCCTTTGAGTATCATTATTCTGATTTACATTTCTTTAAGTGGCCTACCGGCTACTAGTATAATTATGTATTGACAGCTAATGTGACAGATTAGGTAAATTACAGAATTTACATGATAGATCGTGGTTGTTCAACATTCAGTCTTTTAATATCAATTGCCCATGAACTCTTAGCATACATTGTCCTAATGGACAGGTTCAAGGCTGTGATCTCAGTGACTGATGGACTGAGCATTGCTGGAGACGTAACGAAAAATAAAAACCAATTTCTATGTGGTTTTGATATGATGGAAACATATAAACTGGCCTCATACAAAGGTGCTATTGTCCGTCAGATCAATGTGGTAGATTGTACCCTGTTCCGTAAAGCAAGAAAATTTGATTTTTAAGGGACTGAAAGGCAAGTGCAGTCTGTTCTTGATCCTTAGGTGGAGGACAAGTGTCCGATGAGTCCATGATAGACTCGTACATCATACAAGAATTAGATTTATTTATTTTTTAAGAGATAAAAAAGATGACTTGGGGCAAAAGCTGGCAAATTCAGAGTTAGGGTTTGATCCTTTTATAATTTTTACTATGCAGAAGGCTGGTAACAATCATGTAATTCTTACTGATATTTATTTATTATATATACTGTAACAGTGTATTATAAATGTACTTGATGCTTTGCAGAGCACATAGAAAGCCTTTTTTGCCGGAGATTTCAATCTATGAGTTGTAATACCTCACCGCAAGTGCTTTAGTTAAGGACAGAATATTAGATGTACACACCTATAAATGCTTATAAAAATAACAGTAAACATTTGCTCTGAATTCTCTGACTTTTGGTCTTCATCAGATTTTTTCAAAATATTTTAAAGGTGGAAATTATAATATAAGTGCCAAGTACTATTCCACAGACTTTCTTTATATCTGCTTTGTAATTGGGATTTTTTCTGGTCAGATGCCTGTTACAGTTTAATCTCTAAGAGGACTATATTATGTTACAATGGAATCTCATAGAGCAGTGATTTTTAAATTTTTTTCATTTGTCAACACCTAAAAAAATTCTAATGCAGGTGCAGACCCCTTTGAATTGTAAGTGCAGGTATTCACATACTTTTGGTTGATCGTGGTCATCTTTCATGGATCCTTAAACATAGTCTACAAACGCCCCAGCGGTCCATGGATCACAGGTTGAAAACCAGTATCATAGGAGCATCAGAAGAGTGATGCAGTAAAACAGACTCTTCAAAAACATTCCTATGGAATCAAGTTGAGGCCTTGACAAGAGGGGCCAACCTCAACACAAAGCAGACATGATCTGGCCACAGCTCACCATTGGGAATTTGCCTAGTAAATGCAAATTTATAGACCTGTCAGAGCTAGTTCTCCCCAACTTACCCTAGACATAAGAAATAGCAAAAGTTGTGGGAATGGGGAAGGAATATAACAGAGCTCAGTTACAGCTAGCATATGTTAGAGCAGCCCCTACCCTATCTTGGAGTATATTTCTCAGTATATATTTGGAAGTTTGGGGTGTTCAGCTTGGGCTGCAGAGTTTTGTCTCCATCCATGTTTTCCTTAGTAATCATGGAGATTTGGAAGTTATTCTCCATTCAGTTTATCTTCTAGTTTTCAATAGTTGAATATAAACAAAGTATGCCTGGGGTTTCCCAAACAGAAAAAAAGTTACGCTTACCTTTTTTTTAAAAGAGAGGCTTAATTTTTAATGGCCACTTGTCTTTTCCTCCTTACTCCTTGGCCTTTTCCTCCTCCTTTCTTTATGCATGTCTGTCTTTTCCCTGCTACACCAGCTAAAGTTATTTCAAAAAAATCTACAAGGAGGTTGCTGTGTGTGTTCAGGAAATAATTTCACTACAATTTTCAAGGCAATCAAATTGACTTGTTTGGCATTTTGAAATGTCTACTAGAAAGCTATACAGTTTTAGTGGATTAAGCAGAAAAAATACTTTGCACTTAGTGCTCTCAATTCAAAGATGTCAAAACGTTTTACTAAAATAGGTATTCTTGAGGTAACAAGCTTTTCAGTCCCCTAAAATAGTTTAAATTTTGTTGAGTGTTGCCTACTTGCAATAGAAATTACTTAGTGGGTGACAGCAGCAAACTATGGTTTTGTACTGCATTATCAACATGTATGATACATGGCAAGAATTTAGGGCTATGAAGATTCAGTGTTTACTACACAAAAAAAGATGGAGATTTTGTAATGAGATATTCTGTTCTGTGATCTATCAAAAGTTTAATAAAGAAAAAAATTTAAGAGTGCTGATTTTTTTTGGTCATTTCAATTGCAGAAGGTATAAGGTAAATATGTACCTTTTATAAACTAAGTAAGTTCTATAAAGAAAGCACAAGTTTTTATGAACTTGAGTTCTTGTCATCAGATGCTGTGAAAGAACAAGATAGAGCTGAATATGAAGTGAGTGATAAGAACACAATAGGTGGGAAAGCAGGAGGGAGGAGCGGGGAGGGAAAGTGCTGTGAGAGGCATAAAAGCAAAAAACCCATAGGAACAAAGGAGTCGCAAAAGATAATCTAGGTAATGCGATAAGAATCCATAGTCCCTGTTTAAACTATACTTACAGTTTGTGGATGACTTCTTGTTAAGTAATTTCCCATTCAAATTTCTTTTTTATTTTGTCATCCATCTCATGGGGCTACCCAGGGTATTGAAATCTGTTGGCTGAGGCATAGTGATAATGTTAATTGATGTTTCCCTGCTGCCAAACTTCTGGGCCAGTGGGGGCCCGTGAGCCAGATAACATAGCCGTGCATGCCAGACTATGGTACTGTACAGCTGGAACTCGTAGGCAGACAGTGCAAAGCTAGTTCCGGCTTGTGTAAGATTGAGCCCATGGACCAATCCTGGGTAGGATCCAGCCCACAGACCAACTCTGTGCTATTCATCCAGCTAAATATAATAACTAGCAAATTGCCTGCCATGACTGATGGGCAGACAGAGGGGTGTGGGCAGGGACAGAGCATGGTGCTGCCGCTCCACCTCTGGCCCCATGTACCCCACCCCCCATGTTTGGCCCCATGCATCCCCTTCTACCCCCTGCTGTTCCACCCCATGCCACTGCTGGCTCCCAGGAATGGCAGGGAGGGGACCTTGCACGCGGTGGCAGCCACTGACACCCAGTGGCAAGCAACATCCCCCCCCCCCTTCTTTCCCTCACCCTCTCCTCCCTTTCTGCCACCTCCCCCTCTCTGCCAGCTGTTGTTGGGGTCGGGTGGTGGCAGTGCCAGCGGGGGGGGGCAGCAGTAGCAGGGGGGTGCTGCCACCAGTAATCTCCCTTCCCACTCCCTCCCTTCTTTCCCACCACTTCCCCCTCCCTGCCAGCTGTTGGGTGTTGCAGTGGCTCCCTCACTCTGTCCATAACGCTCTGGGCCCTCGCAGCCGGTGCACGCCCTCTCAGTAGCACATGTGCAGTTGATGCAGAGCATTATAGACAGACAGACTAAGGCTTTTATTAGAATGCTCAGTTTTATACATCTAAAAACATTGTTTTGCTCGCACACAGTGATCCCAAGCCCACTGAAATCTGGAAGAAGCATTTCTTTAATAAAAACTGTACTTACATTTTAAGACCCCACTAATATTAAGTGAACAGGAATGGGAGGATT